AAGACTACACAAGAGTATGTCTCAGATGATATAAACTACATTACAAGCAATGACGAACGATGATGGAATACCTTCCATCATACATTCTACATCTGAGACATACCTACATAGTATATATAGACTAACTAATCAACAGACAATGAAGCAAGCCGTGAGAGAGCAAGCCGAGTCCACTATCCCCCCTTTTTGTGTGATCCCTCTAAGCCTCTCACATAACCTCCCTTCCCCTTTCTTAACAAGAACACTATCAAGCTAGCAAAGATGATGAGATGTGAGAGATGAGATAATTGGCAACATGAAACGCTTCACAAACTGGCAAAATTCGTAACGTAAAAACATGACCAAAGCAAGGGTACGTCTGACAGCATACTGCCACACATTGTCTGTACATTAATGCCTGAAACATGATCTACTTATGGGGAATTTGATCTATAGTCTGAAAGGAGATTTCCGCTTTGTAGAAGTTTGCGTCATCCACTCTTTGTTCATCATCATTTTCTATATATGCAGATATCTGACTCCAGGGAAAACCCAACATACCACGAGAAAGAAGTAGCCCTTTGAGAAGAGACGTCTTCATGTCTGCACCATATTCTTCACAGCAAACTCTGCCTGGGCTTGAGGGCGACGAGTCTATTGAATTCAAAACATTAGAAGAGATACAGAGAGGAGAAATAATCCTTGCACCAACACCCGGGCTCAGAACAGTAAGCGGGAAAATTAATTTCATATGGTCGTACATGCAGGGGGGTCAGCATGGCACTATGTTTCATAAGCAGATTGTATTAACGAGAGACGCGGGCAGAGGCCGGTTGAGGACGGTGATGATGACTAGTCTCGGAAAGACTGATATCGGAAAGACAATTTTGGATAGGTATTATGATGTTCCAGAGGATCAAAGGCGAGGGGTATCGAAAGATGAATGGATGAAGAATATAAGATATTTTGTACCCGTGGCTCCAACACTGCACGAGGATGTTAGTGGCGGACAGTACGGGCAGTCCCAATTGACAGTTACGTTTAAAAATGGAGAGAATCCGTTGTCATATGCACACTGGGTATTTGTTGCGAAGAAATTTTCCGTTTCGCCACTGGACTGGCCAGGATATGAAGGAAAGGTAAGAGACGAGCTACTCTGCTCCGCACGATTACTTGGCTTACGAGTTCTTCCGAGAGTAGTTTGCTGTATTGAAGGGGGCGAAGATTAGTAGCACTTTTGTTTGGCCGCTCACTAGGCTGGTTGAGGCAACTGAACAGGAGCTGGGTGGGTATGAAGGCACTACTAGTACAACTGGCTCAGGAGATTCCAGGCATCATTATCGCCACTCTAGGGGAGATCAGCGTTCCGGAGGCACGGGTAGCACAGACTGGGGCCACAGAACATCAGATCAGCCGAGAGACTCCAATGCCTGGTGGAGGTCCGGAGCCCCAGGTGGTCAAAGCTGATAGGAGAGCATACGAACAAAGTAAGTCAATAATCCATCACATCTCCATATGGAGTACATGCAGGATCAGTAGCTAGTACTCCTTGGACATGTACCTAGGTGTAGGATGTTTGCATCAGCAATTTGATAGGCCAGCAGTGACGTTCGCCAGAACAGAAAGTTTGCCATTAGAATACAAGTGTCTGATTGGGCCGATAACAACATCATTGAGACTGTGACGTGATGCAAAGTTGTCCGTGGCATCCTATACGAGTCGGACGGGGATTATCTTGCACTCCGTTTTTTTTTCCTTCACCTTCACCAGCTGGTGTTCCTGTTGGCAAAGGTGACGATCCGCACGTGAGACATTCAGCACTAGTGAGGTATGACCTAGCTCAGCACGTTGTGAGTGGCACAAGCTGACAATAGGCATGGTCAAACCTTGTGATTCTCTGTGCAATTCACCTTGCAATTCTAGAGGGTGAATTGCAAGGTGAATCGCATGTGCAGGTTTGACCAGCACACTTGTACATGTGCAATTCACCTCAATATACCAACCCTTGATCTTAAAATTACATAATATAAAATTAAAGAAATAGTTTTTTTTTGTGCATATACATTTGGCCATGTCAAGAAGGACTTGATATGTGTGCAGTGATGTGCAAGAAGACAACAGAGCTTGGTAGCAGAGAACACAAGGATTTTTTGCAGAACAGAGGACAGTATGTATGCTGTATAGTTGCTGTGGTCTGGTTCTGGACCAGTCCACCCCTCCTTTACCTGGACTGTAACCCGGACCTCTTCATACAGTCCGGGTAAAGGAGGGACCTGGACCCGAACCTTTGTGGACCACTGTTGGACTGGACCTGAGGTCCAGTCCAGGTCTGGTCCAGGTATGACCTGGACCAGTAGAACTTATACTTACAGTTGACTCACATCAGGAAAATGTCATGTTTCTTGTAATTTCTTATAGACTTTGTAAAGTAACATATGTATTGTATATACATTGTAAAGTAATTGTAAGGTTTTTAAATAAATTGTAAGTTTTAAATAAGACATGTTAATACATATAAAGTCTATATAAGTTCTAAGGATGAATAAAATCTATTACATGTATTATACTAACTTTGCATGACAACCTAAAGTATTATGCTTGTATTATATTTAAATTATAATCTTAAAGAAAAGATTATATTTATAATATAATAATGTAATAATAACTATTGTTAACTTATACTTTATGCAAAAGATGTAAGATTACTTGTTATATCATTATTATCTTAATAAGAGTATACTATGAGTATATAATATGTATATTATACTTAGATTATTTATACAAATAGTTTGTAATATTTGTATAAAATATTTTATCTACTTGTAATCATTACATTAGTGTGTTTATTTAGAAAGCTATATACATGTCATATTACTTTTTACTATATTACAAAGATCAACAATTTTATTTAATACTTAAATACAATATTTAAAATGTTCTATCAGTTGGTGGCTGATAACTTAACTTGCTTATGTAATCGACTGCTGAAGATTGAGAGCATATAATGACACACTTATATGTGTTACTCTTTCTCTTCAACCTCTGCCATCTCTCAAAGTCTAACCCTCTGCCCTGCCACCATGTCATTGCTTTTGTCCTCTCTAGTCTTCCTCCTCTTGCAAGCATCCTACCAGCTGCCACACTGCCTTCAGCAATGTAGACAATAAACATCACTACACTCATCTCTCCAATCTACTATTGTGATGCCTGTACTGAATCCCAGATTCTGTACAGCTGACTACTCTGTACCCTCCCAGTCTCAACAATGTAAAATGTAAGCAACCAGTTCACTTCATAATAACCTGTGTAATAGTTGCTCATCCCTCTCCTCCCAACTTTTTGTCCCCCTTCCATCCCTTCTGCTCCTTGTTCTACTGATTGTGTTGCCTCTCCTTTGTTATCCTCCTTGTTTTACATTTGTCTACCTTTTTGCATTTGCATTCGTATTTGTGCATCCACATTGTTGACTAGTAGCAAACAACTCCTTCAATAATTCCATGTATCCACATACTTCTTCCCACTCTATAGTACAAGCAATAATTGACAAGCACAAGCTTGTAACAATGTCTATGTACAACCATCCTTATAGTACCACCCTTTCTCCAATACTGTACATGTTCTACTTCTCCATTCATTCCATACTTGACATTACCCTTGACAGGTCCACCCTACTTGTATTTACATTCCTCATTACTGTCTATGACACCATATTGACTAGATACAGTGGCCCACCACTCATCCCACCTGAGATGAGTTGAATCTGTCCACATCTTCTACTTCACCCTCACCCTTTAAGCTAGAACGTCCTAGAGATACACCTTTGTAGTCATCTGTAATGGCTCAGTTTACTACACCTCTGATTGTGAGACATAGCTAGAGTATACATTGTGCACTTACAGACACAGCTTTGCTTGCTGCTCAAATCAGTTTGTTTAACACTCTGGATCTTAACCCTGGTACACTACTCACACTCACTACTGAGAGGCAAGGTTTTGGTAGGCTTGTTCCCTCTAGTGTTGTTGTAGGCTCTCATCAAAACTCTCCTCCATTCTAAATAGGAAAGAACTAACTACATAAAGAAAGTGATTATGTAATCCAAAGAATTAAATAAAATCAAGAAGATCTGATAGTAACCAAAATCAGAACTCTTCACCTCCTCAAGCTTTAAATAGTGACTGTCCTCAGTCACTTGCTTTGAGAAGCAATAATAAAGGGTAAGTATAAGGAGTGTGGGTAAGGATAAAAGGTATCAATCAAAGTAAGATAAAGAAACAAAGAGTGTGAGTCTCAAGTAAGAATGAGTGTCTATAAAAGAAAGGAGTATAAGGGAATGTTAGAGTAAAGAGAATGTAACCTGTACTAAGGCTAAAGGCTTGCCAGACCAATCCTCTCCAACTCTAACATAAATAGTAGTAGTAGTGAGTAGTAGGTTTCATCCAACAGCTGCTTGGGTCTCAACCTGACACTTCTGGTTCTGATCTGCTGGGTCTGTCAAGGTCAAAATCTGATTACTGTCCTTGAAATCCTTTGTCTCATACTCAGTTAATGTGAAGAACAGCCTCCTGATTATTATGTTGAACATTGTGTCCTTTACTACATGAACTAGTATCACTATTAATATTCTACCTACTAACACCTTGAGTCTTAGAATAACACCTTTGATTGTAATTGATCCTGCATTTGCTAGCCTGAGGTTTGTCTACACTTACTCCTTTGGTACTCCCAAGTGTTTCTAAACATCTTTACACATTACATTCATAACAGCTCCCTAGTCTAGTAAGCTCTCAGTCTCTAATTCATTATTTAGCTTTACTGTTGCTAGCCTGACTGGTACACTTCCAGCCTTGTTGTTGCTGACTAGAGTGCCTATCTGACACTCCCTTACTCAACACTACTCTAATCTGACAGCTTCTAACATCCTCCTGTGTAATCTGCTTGTGCTTAGTATTCTTGCTAGGCTTGACTGATTCTCATTGTCTTAGCACTTGATCCTTACAGATGCACTTCTGACCTTGTTTATCTAGCTTGCTACTGCCCTTTACAACAGTCTCTACTGCTCATCCATTACACTATTCTCCCTCATCCTTACTAGTACACTTCCAGCCTTGTTTACCACACTTGCTCCTCTACTCTACTCTTGTTCTTGTTCTCTAGCTTGAATCTGACTCAATCTGACATAATCTACTACTTTCCTACACAATCTGCTTGTTCTCAGCTCTACTACTAGGCTTGACTGTGCTTTGTTGTCCTTGTATGTAACACTTGTACTTGTGTGCTAATCTTCTCTACTGTTGGTCCTTGCTTCCTCACTCATCTCTTCCTCCTCTGCCTTTGTAGGTCTACTTCCAGCCTTGTTCAGCATTTTGTTACACATCTGAGTTGTCCTCATAAGCTTAGCTACATACTGGCACTCAAGCTCTAGAGCTATTACAAACAACTCACAGTGTGTTAATGTGACAACACTGTCTATCATCCAGTCTAAGACCTGCTTAATAATCTTACTTGACTTGACACTTTACTTTAGTCTGACTTTGACTAGCTTTGTGTTAGCCTTCATAGTCCTTGCCTCCTCTCTTTGTCTCTTCACATCCCTCAAGCATTCCTCCAACCTTGTCACCTCTGTATCCAAATCTGCTCCAAGAACAGTTTTGTACTTTTCTCCCTTACTTACATTTGACCTATCTTTTGCTTCATCAATTGTGCCTACTGTAAACACAGGCTTGTCTTTATAGTATTAGTCTATGTGCTCCTTCAACATTACTCCCTCTATACTAGCTAGTACAAATGCCCTACTCATTAACACAATCTTCTGCCCCAACCTTATACACTTCCCCCTCTGAGTGTACTTGCTCACAGTCCTACAGTCATGTACAAAATGTCCTTACTTTCTACAAAAGTTGTAGGTCCTCTTATACTTTAGGTTGGATTTCACAGAATCAGTAGATTAGTCAGTTTTGCATGCTTGATTCATCAGTATCTTCCTGGACTTGCTTACTTTGTTAACCTAGGCTTGTAACTCTTTAAGCTTCCTCACAATCTTTACATACTTGTCTCCTACTTCTTTCTCTAGCTTCTCCTTTAGCAACATTACTGTCTAGTCTTAGCCTGCCTCTGTCTGCCCTACTAGAAGAACATAGTCTGCTAGTCTAACTATATTAGTGAATTTGAACAGCTTGCTTGCATTCTTGTCCACATAGAGAATCTCTAGTCATTGTATCAGGTTTGTCCTCAGTGTCCCTCTGATCCCTCTCTAGAACTCACAGTCTAACTTGTGTACTAACATCTTCCCTTACTCCTTCAAGTACTCTACTTGCACCTAGAACTTGTAGTAGTAGTAGCCAAACTCTGTCTACACTGTCATTTCCTTCTCACTCTACACATTAACTAGTTGTATGATATTGGCTCTCATATAGTATTGACTATCAATCAGCTCCAGATAGAGCTTTCTGATCTCCTCTTTCACAATACTCTAATCACACACTCCTTTCTTCTTCAACTTAAGCATGGTAGCCTACAAACTGCTACAGCTTGTTACTGTATAGTACATTACTTGCTTACACATTCACTCAGTGTCCTTCTGGAAGTTGGCAGCTAACATCTTAATGTCTTTAAAGAACTGTAGAAGATGTATATGTATTACAAAAATAAAACTAAGCTTCTTTTCACCTCTAAATTCCAAAAACAATAAGATGATTTGCCTCTTCCTTGTGAGCACTACAGCATACTATAGTTGCTGATGTTTGGTCCTGGACCTAATGGACCCAGGTCAACCCTAGGACTGAACCTGAGGTCTGGGTCACAATAGGTCTGGTCCAATCAGGTCCAGAACAGGTTCAGTTCTGGGTCCAGGAAATGCTGTATTTTCCTGGACCAGACTGGACCTTAAGGACTGAGGACTGGACCCAGGACCCATGTTTCTATTTTAATACAAGAACACCCAGTTGAGTTGACATATAATTCAGGGTGTTCACTCCTCACTTGATATATACATAAAGTAGTAGAAATAAGTATTAAAATACAGTAGAATTAGCTATGAAGCTGTGGGAAAATGTACTGTAGCATTACAATTTACATATTTGGACTGGGTTGAACTACAATTATTCATTCCTTGTACTAACACTCTTTTTTAGGAGAATAGTATTTGTTATCCAATTCTTGCTCACATAGCTCAGGATTACCTTACTATACAAGGCTCCTCTGTACCTTGTGAGTGTGTGTTTTCAGGTGCAGGGCTTGTAGATACAAAGCAGTGTAACTGACTTCTTCCAGAAACTTTTGAAGCAATTGAAATTCTTAAAACTCATTATTATTCTCTTTGTAAATAGTCTAGTATAAAGCACTAGCTACATATTACAAAAAAAAAGAATAGACACTATTTGTTGTAGGATGCTTGAACTCCTCTACTCACATTAGGGACACACTCTTGCATCAGGAAAATATCTCAAACTTTGTATTAGCTTATATGTATATAAATTATATATATTTTCTACATTATGTATAAGAGCTTATTGTGTACCTAGGGGTTTTAGGAAGGTAATAAGAAGCTAAGAAAGCTATTAAAAAGTCTTGGCTATCTGGTCAAGAATAATAAGAATTGTAGTACTTACTAAGATATACAAGTACTTAAAGTGCACCTCACAAAATGGCTAAGTATTATAATACTTGTTATTTTAACAAGGAAAACATATAAATATAAGATGTATAAGATAAGTTTGTCCTTATATCCATTTGTTATTGAAATAACAGTTTATAAGTATATTTAAATATTGTATAAATACATTATTATCTACAACAATCAGGGAAATAATCTGACAACAGATGGTGAGTGTATTGACAATAGAGAACAAATGTGTTCCTTAACTGTTTGAGGTAGTCTTTGTCACCATGCCTTGGTTGCTACTCAGTCCCTGCAAGTTGAGTTGTCTGTGGATTGTGAGATTGTACAGATGGCAGAGGTTGAGGTTGCACTTGTGAGGCAGGTTTAGAGGTTGACTTGCTAAGGAGGCAATAGGTTGTTAGCAAGTGTGAGTACTTGAAGTAAAGAGATGGATACACTGTGACAGTGTGTAGTGAAGAGTTCTGATTTTGGTTACTATCAGATCTTCTTGATTTTATTTAATTCTTTGGATTACATAATCACTTTCTTTATGTAGTTAGTTCTTTCCTATTTGGAATGGAGGAGAGTTTTGATGAGAGCCTATGATGACACTAGAGGGAACAAGCTCACCAAAACCTTGCTTCTCATTTTGGAGCCTACTATAAGGGGTGGTGCCTCTGTTCTAAAGTGTCTAGGTTGTTTTTGTCTTAATCTTGGCCTTGAGGGCCTTGCCTAGCTTGTTTTGAATCAAACTGACTGTTTTGACACACAAGAAGTATAATAATGTGGCTACTGAGAAGAGGATCAAGAGAAGTACTGTACTTTGACAGTAGCAAGCTTGAGGAAATTTGGAAATAGATATGAGTAGAGGTGAATTGCAGGGGTGAATCACAAGGTGAATTGTGTCAAAGTGTGATTCACCTTTCAGCACAATTCACCCTGAATCACTGGGGTTCCAGCCTTCCAGGGTCTGCAATTCACTTTGCATGAAAGTGAATTGCACAGGTGAATTGCACACTGAATTGCAAGGTTTGATCATGCCTAATGAAACACTCTATGAACATGGAATAGTTGACAGAATGTAACCATGGTGCAAAACATGATCAAAAGATGGCATGTGACAGCATTCTCTCCCATTCGCCAGCTGTGAATGGTTAACGAATTTGACAACAAAGTGGTGTTGGTATTGGATTATGTAATCATCCGCATTTAATCACTTCGCTCCCAACCTCAGTCTTGATACATTACGACTGAGGTGGGCAACCTTTCATCCCTTCTTTATATTCTTCTTTATTGATAGCAATACGTAGAATTAATACTTCCTAAAGGTAAATAAAGAATCTTGATACATTACGACTGAGAATTAATATTTCTTAAAGTGGGGTTAACCCGAAAATGTAATAATATGATTAAATGTATGTTATGTAGAAGGATAACCATCAGAGTTCGACTCACAATTCTGCTATCGACACAGAAAATCTAATGTCAGGCAATCCGACTTTATAAGTTGTTAGCTATCTACTATTACACCATAACTGAACTACACAACACAAAAGAAGGAGAAGAAAGAAGAAAGAAGAAGTGACAATAACGACACTACACGTAAAAAAAAAGAAAGCAAAGGGGAAATAAAAGACAAGGAAAACCAAATTCCTATTTTATATAAAGAGAAAAAGAAACAAAAGAAAAGAAAAGAAAATCACAGAGGAAACTTGTACTGATACTGATACTGATATTCGAGATGTATGTTTATGTTGGGTCAGCCTTCTCAAATATCTTCATTTCAGACAGCGAGGAAAAAAAAAGGATATAAAAAACGTGAATTTGAGGGAGGAAAAAGAAACTTAGTATTTCCGTTTGCGGTTCCTAGCGCGATTCGATTTAGGGGTTTACCAAATTTAGTAGGTAGGGAAGATAATGAAGAAATTCGGGATGCAGTAGCGATTCTTGAATATGGGAGAAGGGGAGGGAAGGAGGCAGGAAGTAGAGCACAGGGATATGATGGACATGATACACAGCAACGATGAGATAGCAGAGTAGTATAAGAATTCGATGATGATGATGATAGTAGTACAGCGAAATTCGTTAGCTTCTGGCTTTAACCTTAAGGGAGATGTACACGAGATAAAGTCCGGGAATAGGGTTGAGCTAATAAATCTGGGTGGAAGGGAGAGAGGGAAAGTTCCGTCGGGCCTAGAACCAACATCGGGCAAATTGCGAGGTTATCTTCTGCATGATATCGATCCAAGAGGGTAAATTCCGGCTGCTGGATATCATATGTATCGCATGTTTTGGACGAAGATATTCGTCATCGTCTGCTGCGAGATATACCATGCGTCTTGTATGCCAAGGAAACGATAACACAAAGGATCGCAATTACACTCCCTCCAAGCCTTCGTCCATTACGACAACGTCATCCATAACATATAACCCTTCATCATCCAGCCCACCCAGTTCGTCCCATTCCGACGACACATGTACAACATCCTTCGCAGTGTCACTAGGAGACTGACTCGCCGAAGTAGGCGGGGCCAAGGGAGACGTCGAAGCTCTCCTAACATCCTCAATCTCATGCTTCCCTAATCGCTGACGTTTCTCCGGTGGCGTCTTGCTCCTCACATTCCGCTCCTCGGTCCGAGAATCCTCTTCGTTGCCAGTATCAACACCATCTATATCAATAATCTCTGCAGCTTCGCAAGATCGTTTCCTGCTGGCTACCATCTTCCGATTTCGCTCCTGGTTAGGGTCCATCCCATCTTCCAGATCTGCAGTTGTCAATGCAGAGTTCTCCGTGTCTGATACCGGATCTATCCGCACTATCACGGGAGGTGACAAGGTCTGCTTTTGCGCGTATTCTTGGTCCTGCGTATGTGGATAATGTTGGGACGGTACGATGTTTCCGGCCTCAATGTTTGCCCTCAGCACTGCACGCTCGCAGATCTTGCAGCGACATTGGAATAGTGGAGCGCATGCATCACGCCATATCTAAATAGCAAGAACGACAAGTTAGAACTTATGAAGAATGTAGAACGAAAGTACTCACATTTTTGAAAGTTTCAGTGGTAAACGAGGGCATCTCTGACATCGACTCAGGGATAAAGGGAATGGACGGGATCTGTGTGGGCGACTCTAATACAGGGGAGATAGCGATAGGAAGAGACATAATCGGTGACAAGGGCTGTCTTGAATGGGAGGAAGATGATGACGGAGGAGGTGGAGGCATCGAGTTCGTCTGCTCCGAGCTTTGCAACTTCACATCTGACGCAGGCGGCGGCGATGGTGTAGTCTGTAATGTCGAGGTCGATAGTACGGGGCTTGTCGTGCCGGATCCGCTTTTCTCGGAGCCACTAGACGAATCGTCTGAGGAGTTTACCTCTCTTCGCCGTCGGCGATCAGCCCAGTCTACACCGTTGTACCACGTCATGTCGTCCCGCAGTGCATTTGCAACGTCCTCAATGCTCATTCGCGCTACTCGTACGGAAGCATCCGTACCATCAACAGCACACTCCATCACCACCTTGCGAACTATGTTGGCCATAGCGGGGAACAATACAGCACGCATTTGTCTTCGGTAAGCATCAAAGGCGGCGCCGCACAAACTGAGGCTCGGCGGCGGTGAAGAACGAACGGACTCAGGGTCTGGATGGGGTCGTTCCGCAACTGACGATATGACGGTCCATGAAACAGGATGGATTGCAGGGATGTATGGGACAGGAGGATAGGGTTGGTTCGTTGATAATCTCTGCGCATTGGAGTTGTTCGGGCCTTGTATTAAATACCACTGGTCAGCAGGACTGTACCAATGCCCATCAAGTATTCGAGCCCGTGCCCAGTCGTTCACCGCGAGCTCGCGGACTCCCTGGGTCTCTTCCGTGATGCTAAGAAGCTCCGGGTCTTCATCATCCTCATCCACTTCGCTGAGTTCCTCATCGTCCTCGTATTCGCCCATCCCACTCCCCAGGATGCCTGCTTCATTCGCATTCTCGACCATTCTTGATTGTATGCGTGAAGTCGCAACAGCAAGACGCATCATCTCTGCAATCTTCGTGTACTTCCGTAACCAGCGCTTCTCCATGCAAAGGCCAATGACGTCGCGTACTGAGCCCTCGCCCATCTCGACAAAAGCGTCTATCGTTTGTCGAGCCTCCCAATCCTCTGGAGCAAAATTCTGGCCGCCTACGGCCTCTGCTTCTTTTGTTAGCCTATTCCCGGGCTGTTCTTGGCCTTCGCAGCACGCCTTCCATAGGCACTCCGCCCTGCAAGTCCGGCAGGTTGCCTCGACTGACTGCCAGTAATCACACTCCTCGTTTTCGGCAATGCAGTTTTCATCAAGGCTGGCATCTCGGAGGCAGATCCCGCAAAAGCGTTCTTTGCGGTGTTCTCTACAGCACGGAACGAACCCGAGAGTGTGGGTGTAAGTTAGTTTTCGCGCAATTAGGAGACCGCTGGTGGAGTTCGGGTAGTTGATGCGGCACGGAATGCACGATCGCTGGAAGAGATGTTGACGGAAGTGCCTGTACGGAGATACGCGTTGTGCGCGGGCGAAAGCCAATACATGATCGGCCGCATCAAGAACCGCGGCTGCTTGTTGCCAGAATAGATGATATTCAACTGCGAATACAAAAATAAAAATAGAGGTCAGCGCCCGACCATTACAGTATAATTTGATAGGGCAAGGAAGAAGGCGCGAACAAAGAACGATCGTCGGCCCGCGTCAACACGCGCGGCGATAGGCTATAGGCTATTCTCTGTGTGTCAGTGTGTATGTATATGACCGCGAAGCTGTCGACGGGGTGTCGTTGGCAACGCACGCATAAAATATTGCCAGCAGGTTGACTGCCGTTTCGAACACAACTACTTCCGACGCGGGTGTGGCTCTGGCATTACATTACGTAGTGCATACGCGCTGCAGTCATACGCGTCGAGAGCAGCACAACCCGCGTTCTCTGTCACACTTGAAGTGTTGTGGACACACCACAGCCCGGCACAGGCACCAACGACAGACGCGCGAGCATAACGGAGCAGAGACAATAGATAGGCAGAATCAACACGCACTGGCAGATGCCCAGGCAGGGGAGACGCGCATGAGCTGTTGTATGACCTCGGCGTCGCGCACGACTGTGAATGCCATGCGGCCGGGCCAGTTCTCGCGTTGCTGCCACACGGCCGGGAGCACGGCCGTCGCGGACATGGCGAGAAGGTAATGCGTCGTGATGAGGCGGATGACCTCCGGAGGCAGAGTTGCCCATGAGCGCGTCGTGGACTTGCCCTTGTAGACCATCGCGCTCGGCGGCAGGCTCTCCCGGGCTGAAGTCGTCGTGGTTGTCGTGGTCGATTGTTGGTCGTCGTCAACAGCGGGACTGGCTCGCTGTGCTCCGCGATGAGCTGAGCTCCCAATTTGGCGCCACAGTGTGACACAAACAAGAGGGTGACGCGCACTGGAATTATCGTTCCCACGCCTTTTTACGTAAAACTAGCATTTATTTTACCGTACACGTGCCTTTGTCTTTGTCTGCGGACTCAAAATAAAGCATGGCCAAACGGTCCTGTGCTATGCTAGTCTGGGCGCTGATTAGTGTCGAAAGTATCTTGTCGGCATCCACTATGTACAATTTATAATCCCTCCGAGTAATGTATTGTATCGGACAGCACACCATCCGAGACGAGATGTACACTACGGCTTACAATTACACCGAGGGAAGTCAGCAACTACTCGTCAGCCAGAAGTTCAGCCCTTCGCTGATCGTCTCCAGCGTCGCCGCAACACTCTCATGCTCACAGACAATCTCTACATTACGCGACCTCACTAATTTAAGAATTCCTCGGAACCTCGCATCCGAGAGTATCCATTCCCACTCCTCGCCATACAATGTAAGCTTCTCAAGCTTTGAGAAGCGTGTTCGTTCTCCGAACAGCGAGAGAAAGTGACCCGCCATTCTGGCCCATTGGTCGTCCTCTTCGCCGACATCCTCCGGCTGCTCGCGTAGTCCCTGCGCACTAAGTCCGACGTGCGTTATCAAGTAAATGACTTGTACGTGTTGTCTTCTCGTATTCTTCCTCGTCGGCTTCGTGGTGAAGACTGGGAAGTTGAGCGTAGCTGCGTTAGAGCAGTTGAGTAGGACTACGCTGATGAAATCGTGCAGCAGGAAGCGTCTATGCGGCGCAAATTCAACGGTAGTGACTTTGGGCCCGTTTGCACGTAGGAACTGGTGGAAGAACAGTGTATAGATTCCATCGGGTTGCGTGAAGATAAGTCGTTCGAGTGTAGGAAGCTTTACGGCCTCTGGGTCGATGCCGCCTTCACCGACGTTCCCGGGCGTGTGTAAGGAACGTAAGCGAATCGTCCGCAGGTTCGGTAGGTCCACTATAGGAGACACGTCCCTCTGAATCGGGAAGTGATCTGGTCCGATTGTGAGAGTCCGCAAAGATCCCGAATTCCAGATGAACTTAGGTGTAGGTATTGTAGATGGTAGTGAATCAACAGGGCTGTTGAACCAGTCTATGCGGCGAAGTTGGGGCAGATGAATATCATCGAGGTTCTCGACATTCGAGGGCTGCATAGGAAAACCGAAAGCCTCGTCTTCTAAATCCACTGTGTCGACAGAGAGATGCTGCGGTCGTGTGAGGATAAGCACATTCGGACATCGCTGCAAGATCCGTCTAGTACCAGCCGGCAAAGATGCGCGCCAATGCCCAACAGCCTTGCATCCATCTAACGAGATCGATATCCTCCTCACAAACAATCCAAGTCCAGGATCCCTCTCCAAAGCGTCCGCAAGTCCTTCAGAACCATGCCGAACCCGAACATCTTCAAACAAAAACTTCGCCGATAACTGCCTGAACAAAGAACACGTCATCGCAATAGTGCGTTTTGTTTCAAGTGGAGCATCGCAGAGCGCATCGACGTCAGTGCTATACTCTCCTTCAAAGGATTGGATTTCAATGAGTGTATCAATCTCGCGGACAGGGTTGTAGGTAGCTAAGTCGAAGATGTAGGTAAGGAGCTCTGGTGGTAAAGGAATGGAACGGGCGGTCCAGCCGGACATGAAAATGTAGGGAGGACAAGCGGCGAAGCGCCTCGACGCATATACGAATAGAAGGTAGAGTTTTACATGTTGGGGTGTTACGTATGCGTGCCCTTGCAAACTGCTCGTTAGCAGGACAGTGCAAAGTTCCCACAAGTCTCTGCAGCATATCAAAGGAGAAACAAGGAGAACAAGTGCAATAAGACTCGGTGTCAGTCACCCGAGTGTGGTTATAGATGAACCTCTGATATATCAATGGAATGTTCCGGCGTGATTCAAGCTCCAGTGCAGAAATTTCTTCGTGTGATCCTTCGTAAGATAGGAATCCATAGTCTATTGTACATGTTAGGCTCGCTCCAGACAGCTAGATATATAGAGAGATTTGTAGCGGTGCAAAGAACCAGTCAGCTGAGAGGATAAGCATTGGAAGCTTGCCAGTCAAAACGATTCAATGAAAGTGACGACTCAAACGGTTCTCCCAATACAGTCTTTAACTCTCACGATTTTACGTAAGTACACTTAGAACACTTGACGCCGCGAAGATCTGGTCTTTTCTTTCTTGCTGCTGCTCGAACTACTTTAGCCTTCAAGCATGGGGACGAAGAATCAATTCAATGATACCGACTTAACTCTTGATACAAAACTTATGGACCAGCGTGTAGGCCTTCTTCCAGTCCGGAACTTTGCACCATCCCGACGTTCAATATGAGATTGAGAAGTCTCCTCCACGGTGCCACATTACCTCAGTCGTTACCTTAGCAATATGAGCTGCCGTGATTAATCAACCTCTGCTGTTACACCGCTTATGCTTCTCTGCGAACTAGTAAGGACTAGACATCAGTAGGTGTCTATCACGTACCCAGCAAGAGTGACTAACTGTGCAATACGAATCCCTTTGCTTCACTACATGGTAACCCCATTATAGGTAAGGGAACATTATGTCTGCATACTGAAGCATGCATTCTATTCAAATGGCCATGCATGTTTCACTGCTCCCGCTCCTTCGTGCACATTACCAGGAGGGAGACCTGACGCAGGCCGACGCCGCCAGACTCCTCACTGAGCCGAGAGCACATTATGATGCCCACACAGTCACACGCTCCCTACAGTCGCTCTTTTACCCCTTTGAACGCACCCCGTCTCCCTGCAGAGCTCTTAACCGAGATCTTCAAACTTGCAACCGACAACCCAGTTCGTGACCTTGACTCACTTACCTCTTGGAAACCCTTCGAAGGCATCTACGCTTCGCAAACCGAAAAATCTTGCAGTGCCGCTCTTCGGACAAAACATGCGTTGACATTAGTATGCCGCTCGTTCAGAACATTGATCGTTGACCTGTTGTATGAGGACATATGGATACGGCACGGTTCGGACGGGCTGATGGAAGTTCTTGAATCGTCTTTTACTGTAGATAAGGAGGCAGGGAAAGAGGGTCAAGGATACGGACGATTCGTAAAACGCGTCAATCTTTCACCGATTGGTTATGACGGTTCGGGAAAATCGTGCGGCTCGATCTTACAAAACACACGTCGGATCCTCATGTGCTGTCCAGACGTTCGTGTCATCCGTCGACCTCCATGCACTTCCTCCTGGACAAACGGAGGAGAAGTAGTGCAAAATGACTTTGTTGATAGCATCCCGACCATTGACGATTTGGATTTCCCTAGGCTTCAGCGAGCCGAATGGTTCAACACGCCTAATGATGTGATGAGCGCAACAGCACCTACACCATCTGTATTCTTCTTCTCAGAATCTCTACGTGTCCTCATCTTGGGTCCGGATAACTTCCCTGCTCCCCGGCTCAGTATCAGAGGTCGAGGCTGGAGAGAAGAGAGACAAGACCAAGATCTCCTCAATAACAACGACGCGGTGGAAATGACAGTCATCTCCCTTCCCAACCTTCACGCACTCTCTATCCAATCTCTCGATACGTTCGGCGAAACACCACGTCGATATCGTCTCTCCCTCCCTTCTCTCAAACATCTCATTCTCAAACGTCCCGAAGCAATCTACACACTCTTCGACGGCGCACTCACTCCCCTCTCATCACAAATCAAGACAGTTGAGATTGCGGCAGACTTTAGGTTCTTACGACAAGATTTCGTATCAACTATCTTACAATACTGCAACAACGCGGAAAGAGTCTATATCCCAGTCTTTTCCACCAGGGCCCCACATCAGAATGAAGTTCCGCGTGTATTCCTCGAGTTCAGCCACGTGAAGGAAGTTTATCTACATGCGGGGTTACCCAATGGGTATGTATATGGTGAAGAAGCCTGGTGGACGATGCTTGATGCTCACTTTGAGGGATTTTGCGGAGGGAATTCGAGGTTTACAGTGCTAGAGAGGGTTGTCCTTGCTGGGAAGGAGTGGATGGAGAGCATTCGTGTTTGTGAGATGAACAATGATGAGAAATTGATGGGACGGTTTAAAGGTGTGATTCATGTTGCGAAGCGACGGGGTGTGGAGTTAATCGCTGAGGATCGGGACGTGCAGGATGCTTTAGAGACGGTTATTGGGGATTCAGATGCCAGAGATAGGGGTTAGGAATGAGTATGTAAGGATCAGTAATCTTGGATAGGCTTATCATTGACGGCCGACCCTTTGTGGTAAACACTATTGTTTTAAAACAGAGAGCAGTATGTAAAGCAGGCTCTGTACACACTATAATTTTCCTCAATTATACTTACAACGACAAACCATTCAGTCAACTCTGTATGGTCTGTGGCGTGCACAATAATGATAGTTAATCAAAAATCTCTACCAAATCGATATCTTTGTCATACTAACAGATGTGCTTGAGTTTCTTTTGTCTGAGTGTTCAGCCAATATGCATGCCTGTTGTACATACAACAAGGAAGGTTGTGCCGAGGGATCATGCTTGGACAATCTCTTCTGCAGAGTGGTGCAAACTCGTCCTCATTTTGTTTAATATGTCACTGGAATTCCGAAATATAGGTGGGATGTCTTGTATTATGAGTGTCTATTCACCCAACGCAAACCAAGGCCACATAGTTGAAACAATTTCCTCCGAAACCCTATACAATATATACTGAATCAGTATACAACATGACCATGTTACATTTTCATGAGCAATGTTACCTGGAAAATGCAATAAAGTTGACAGAGAGAAACCTAGAGAGAGATAGCTTCGATGTCTATTCAGCAGGTGGAGCATACAACATCAGCATTCCCATAGCATTAGTAGAGAGGAATGGCACAAGGCTCGTATGCTTAACAGTATACACCTCCAACATGATTGTCCATAGCTTACTGTCGCAACATTTGCACACAAAAGTCAAATTAGTAACACGCAAGGAAAGAAAAAGGGATGATAAAGACACAGAAGGTCCATAGAGCGTCGACATTTAATCATACGTCTAAATTCCGCGTTCTTCCCTCGTCACAACATAGTGCCCAAACATATTTCAGACCAGCGATCACAACATAAGCATTATCACCTAGTATAAGTTCTGCACTAACAGCCTCTTTGAAATCATCCATCCACGAAGTTAGCGACTCATATAGTCAGAGTATGAGTATCAGGAACAAAAGATGACAAGGGACCATGAAGACGAAGCGAGACAACCGCCCAGTCATTGTAGTCAGTTCCGGGCGTAATGAGCATTGCAAAGTACCTTGTACACAGTATCCGCCAATTATCGGTCGTGTGGATCAAAGAGCATCTTTTGGACATACAAATATATCATACCAGACCATGTGGTTTGAGCTCCAGTGCAAATATTTCTCGTGATCCATTGGAAAACAGGGATCCATATGCTGGAGAGCAGAACAGGCAAGCGATTGGTCTAGAGGACAATACTTGATGGATTGCTAATCAGAACGAAAAAGACTATGAAGGTAGACGCAAGAAGCTAGGGATGGCTAGTACGTGAAACTGACTGGCATACTGGCATTGACAAAGCTACCAGCTAGACGTAAATTCTCACGATATTACGTAAACGCTCATTGACGATGAATCGTGACAGATAACTTGATTCAGGTATATCGTATTAAATCTTGTCATGAGGCATGCAGATCTGTGCCTAGGACGTCTTCCAGCCGTGAACTTTACACCCTTTGACGCTCACAGTGAGACCAATAAATCTCACTGTACCAAATCACCTCAGCCGTTATTCTAGAAATGAGCTGCTATAACCAATCAACGTCCCCTGCACAGTTTATACTTCTTCGCGACAGCTAATACGGCCCAGATACCAATAAATGTCTTTGCAGTACCCAACAAGAGTGGCAAACCTTGCATACGAACTCCTTTGCTTCACTATATAGTAAACCTAAAGGAGGCAAAAGTAGCGGCAGTTTCTGCATAGTGTAGTATGCACCCCATTCAAATGGTCATGCATCTTTTACTCCTTCTGCACCCTCGTGCACACTTCCGGGAGGGAGACCTGACACAGGCTGACGCTGCCAGACTCCTTACTGAGCCGAGGGCACGGTATGACGCCTACACAGTCGTCCACTCGTTATATTCGCTCTTTTCCCCTTTCGAACGTACCCCGCCTCCCCACAGAGCTCTTGACTGAGATATTCAAGCTTGCAACGGACAACCCAGTCCGTGACATTGACTCTCTTGTCTCCCGGAAACCCTTTGAAGGCATCTATGCTTCGGAAACTGAAAAAGCTTGCAGTGCCGCTCTATGCACGAAACATGCTTTGTCGTTGGTATGTCGCTCCTTCAGAACGTTGATGATTGATCTGTTGTACGAGGATATTTGGATACGATACGGCTCAGACGGGCTAATGGAAGTTCTTGAATCTTCTTCGGCGATGGATAAGAAGGCAGGTAAAGAGGGTCAAGGATTCGGACGATCCGTGAAGCGCGTCTCTCTATCACAGATCGGAAACTGCGGTTCGAGTGAATCGTTAAAAAACATACGCCGGATCCTCATTCGCTGCCCAAACGTCCGCATCATCTGTCAGGCACAAAAATTTTCCTCCTTCCCGATAAATGAAGGAGAAGCAGTGCGAAATGACTTCATTAGTTGTGCCCCACCCGTTGACGATTTGGACTTCCCACATCTTCAGCGAGTTGAATGGTTCAATGCACGTGACGATGTAACGAACGCAATTGCGCCTATGCCTTCCGTACTCTTCAACTCAGAATCGTTACGTGTCCTCATCTTAGGTTCGAATAATTTTCCTGCTCCTCGATTGAGTAGCAGAGGTCAGGATCAGAGAGAAAAGAGAGACTATCGAGATCTCTTCGACGATAGCGATGCGCCGGAAACGACCATCTCTCTCCCTAACCTACACACCCTCTCCATCCAATCCATTGATACATTCGGCGGACTGCCCCGTATATACCGCCTCTCACTCCCGTCTCTTGAACATCTCATCCTCCAACGTCCCGAAGCAATCTACACATTCTTCAACGTCGCCCTCACCCCTCTTGCGACACAAGTCAAGTCAGTCGAAATTGCGCCAGACTTACGGTTTTTACGGAAAGATTTCGTGTCGACAATCTTACAGTATTGTGATAATGCTGAGAGTGTGTATATCCCAGTTTTCTACACTAAAGCACCTCATCGAAATGAAGTCCCGCGTGTATTCCTCGAGTTCAACCACGTGAAGGAGGTTCATCTACATGCGAGCTTACCAAATGGATATGCATATGGCGAAGAAGCGTGGTGGGCGATGCTTGATGCTCACTTCGAGGGACTGTGTGGAGGGAATTCGAGGTTTACGGTGCTGGAGAGGATAGTTTTTGCAGGAAAGGAATGGATGGAGAGTATACGTGTTTGTGAGATGAATAACGATGAAAAGTTGAAGGGACGGTTTAAACGTGTGGTTAATGTTGTGACACGGCGCGGTGTGGAGTTGGTCGCTGAGGATAGGGATGTGCAGGCGGTTTTAGAGGTGGTTATACAGGATTTAAACGCGACGGATAGCAGTGTTGCATCTGGCACAGAGTATTGGCAGCTGCACTATTGACGATACTAACAACCCTTCGTAGTGTGTATTATTATTTCTCACCAGAGAGGAACGGGAGAAGTAAGCTGTATGCACAATAATATAATGTTCCTGCATATGCTGAAATAAGTGGTAACAGAGATATAAGGTGATCACAGGTAACGTTTCAAAGTTTGGCTTTAACCAAATGATTTCTGTCTACATCCGTTACATTCAAATCATGCTCCTGTTCCGAGTCTGTGTGGACCTCTTCCTTCCACCTAAACCAATTAGATCTTGAAACACCAGGACATAGTACTCAATCCAGGTACATATATGTATTGCCTTGCTTGCAGTTGTTAAGGCGTGTACTCGGTGGCCAAGCTAGGCATGCAGAGATGCCTCAGGAAAAAGTCTGACACAACAGGAGATGCAGAGGTCATGGATTACTGTTGGCATAACCTAACTAATAATAGTTGAATGAATACTAATGTCAATGACATGTCATCACACACTAGACATATTGCTTTACATACTGACTAGAAATCCTCATGAGTTACAAGACATGCATCTCAAGGTCCCTGCTTCCGTACGTCCTGCCAAGCACACGGGACAGGATATGTCTCCAAAATCCATCCTTCCCTCGTTCTTCACCTTTGCTATTCTTACATTCTCCAATCGTTTGTAGGTCCTTTTTTGCAGCAGCAGATGTGTGCAGGACAGAATCGTGCCCAACACTGATACCGGGTGTGTGTTCATATTGTACGCCACGCTGCCATGCCTGACGATTCTCATATTCCAGACTCATCACCACATCACCGCCTTCTTCCACACCATCAATACCTGCAATGGCAGAATTGAACGGACCACCAAATTGCATGTCAGTGACACTCGAAATGTCAGCTTCAGGTTCTCGCCTCGAGGAAACCAGGGTGGCAACAGGCAGAGTGCGTGACCTTCCAGCAACACGCTCGCGACCAGAAGAGGATTCTAGGGACGAGAGGAATTCAGGTGCAGAGGAGGAGTTGCCCATCGCTGGGCTGTTAGTATATCCATGCGAAACGCGTGGTAGCGCCGAGTTCAGCGGCGTCGGAGGCGTTGCACTGTCCTCACTGCTAGTCGGGCTCGGGCTGCCACAGTCGTGAGGGTAATGATCATCCTCGAGAGGCTCATCCTGATCGGAGTCGGGAGACGTGCTTGTACTCAAGCGGGCTAAAGCACAAATGTGCGGACGAGGCGAAATTCTAGGGCTGGGGTACGACAGTGAATGTGCCTTGCGTGGTAAGTTCGTTATAATCGGCGAGAGAACCGGGCGGGAGGCGCGAACTGACAACGCGTGGGCATGGGCCTTGCGTGATAGGGCTGTAGTAACAGGCGGGAGAATCGCCGACTCTTGCTAACCTTGTAATGCATACTCCTCGTTACGCGCATGATCTTCTCGCCTCCACTGTCCCTCCTCTTTGTCTCGCTGTACAAGCTCTTCTTCCAGCTGCTGCTGCTCTTTCTGCTGTATGTAAAGGGCCTCCTCCTTGTGCATTTCCAAATTCCTCTTCCTTCCGGCAATGTGCAAGTGCTTCTTCTTGTTGACAAAGGGACCATTCTTGGTGGTTAACTTTGTCTTCTTCGGTGTAGAATCCTTGCTTCTGCCTGTACTGTCCAGCAGTGTGTTCCTGCTTCTCGTTCTACAAATTCTGACCATTTTCTTGTTTTTCTTTCCTCTGAGCTTCAATCTCTGTTACAGTTCTCTACTCTCGTACCTTCAGTTCTGAGGGTTCCACACCCTTCTGTACCAGAACTTGGGACTTCTGTCCCTCAGGGGCACTGTCTATGAACTATATGTGTGCTGACTCTTGCTACTACCCTTCCTTACTTCATCATTCCATTCCTTTGACCACCCCTTCATTCTTTGTATCATTCTATAGTCTCTTACCCTTTATCCATCCCTTCATTCTTTGTACCTTTATCTTTGACATTCCTTTCTTTCATTCTTTATGGCTCATCATTCTTAGTAGCTCATGCTCCCTGAGTACTCTTGTGTAGTTTAGTATATATAAGTGTACAAGATCAGACTGGTCCTGTAGTCTTGATCTTGTCTACTCTAAGTAGTCCTGTACTCTTAGGCTCACTCTATATACTCTACTCTTGTCTCACTCTCTCTCTCTACCTGTTCTACAAGTTCTGACTATGTTCCAGTACTTACATTCTGTATTTCTGTTGTGTAAGATAGTTATAGTCTGGGTCCCCTTGTTAAGCCTTTGGGTCCCCTCTACACTGTTGCTGACATCAGATTAAGACTACCCATTACTACCTTATGACTCTCCTACATTTTGGGCATTGGTACACACTATTGTGTCAATCTCTTTCCTTTGTCCTAACCCTTTTACATTTTTAAATTTTAAACTTTCTAAACCCTTTTAAATTTTTGCCACCCTTCTTCTATTCATTACCCCTTTTAGTTTAGTGTTGATTCCTTTGTAGTATAAACATAGACCCTACTATACTGACTGCCACCCCTACTGTCCTGCCAGATCAGTAGTTACAAGTAGAACTAGCTTAATATGTATAGACCTCTATCTAAGAGGCTTTTGCTAACCACATACTCTCAGCCCCTTCAGAACCTGTTCTGATTGTTCTAGAAGTTACAACCCATTCTAGAAAGAAAGTGTATGTAGCCTACCCTTCAGACTTTAATAGGTAGCACTTTAAGGACTTCTAGTACTAAGTCAAACTATATGTAGCTACTACTTTAACTAATCTATCCTTAGATCTTAATTGTGTCCTATTCATCCTCTCCTTCATAAAGGAAGGCAACACAGCCACCTGGGCCTAGAACTAGATTGAAAGTCATTAGATTAGAAGTCTGATCTAACTTTAGAACAATGAGTTGTACTCAGAATTCATAAGGCAGTTCTGTGCTTCCTTCATTAATCTGAATGAGAAGTGTAATATACAGAACAAGCTTGTGTCTCTGTAACAGAACAAACGTTCCACCAATACCTTCTTTCAGAAGTTCAATATCCTGGCCTAGAAGGTAGGATTTATACTCAGGTTTAATAATGTCCTTATCAGAATGCTTGAAAAAGCTCTTCACCTAGAACTGGTTGATAAGATTCTTAGAATGATGTTAGAACTAGTCACCTACACTAAGTGGAAGATGTGCACCATCTCCTTCAACTAAGCCACAGCTTGGATGTATCAAGTCTGTGTAGAATGCTTACACATGTGTTTAGCTCTAACAGTTCTGAGCCCTCAGATTGATCTGCCTGTAATTTGTAATCAATCTGTTCTGATAGACATTAGAGAAGCCTAAAAGTAAGGAGTATGCTTTGTCTACAGAAAGTCAGGGCACCAAATTAAGGACTGTCTGTAGAAGTAACAGTACATCTGTTAAGTTATTAGAGTAATGACAAGTGACAAGCAGGATTTGTAGTGAGAAGCCTTTTCTGCAAATCCAGAAGTCACCTCAGAACTCTTAAACCCTGACTACATACTCTAGGATTTTGTAGAGGCCTAACAGTGAATGTAACACTAAAGGGCTATAACTTGGATTTTTTAATGGCCACTTTTGATTCAATAGACACTGTAGGATTAGAAGTAAATAAAGTAAGAAAAGTAGAAAAAGTAGAAAAAGTAGAAAAAATAAATCAACAAAATTATTTATTAGATAGAAAAAAGTCAAAAACAAAAGTAGATAGTTCTCCTATTTCTTCTGATTCTTTTGATTCTTCTCTTCACACTTTATCTAAGTTTAAATTTATACAATCTGACCTACTACTTTTGTGTTCCAAGATCTCAGAATGTTTGGAACATTACCTAGCCCTGTTCACTACTCAGTAGTTTGTCTATAGTATCAAGCAGGGATAGCCTCAGCTGAGTTCACAGCTGAGGACATGGGTCTGTCCTTGTTGAAAGAGAGAGGTTAATAAGGAAATGTTAGTGTATATACTCACCCTCTTGGACAACAAGGCTGTACAAGCTGTATGTTCCCTTCAGAACAAGTAGCAGTTCATCTGAGGATGTTCTAAACACTAGCTCTAAGTCTCTGTCCTCTTGGCTCCCTTCTCAGGATCCCCCCAGATCCAAACAACAGTTCTGGTAGATAGTGGATGTACTAGTTTGTACATTAATAAAGCCTTTGTGTAGGAACACCACCTCCCTACTTGACATGTTCCACTTCTGATCCTAGTATACAATGTAGACAGAACCCTGAACCAGAATGGTTGGATCACTGAGTTTGTCCAACTACAGATGACTATTTAGGATTATAAGGAAAGCATTGAGTTCAGAGTCACTAACCTTAGAAAGACAGATGTCTTCATCAGATTCAAATGGCTCAAGGCTCACAACCCTACTATTAACTAGTTAGAGTAGACACTTGTGTTTGATCAGTGTCCTGAGTCTTACAGCTACCTTATACTACTGTTCTAAGTAGATACAAATGCTTCCAATATTACTAACAGTTCTAATGAAGGTGACCAGTTGTTCTTCTTCAACTAAGATAGATATGTGGATACATATTCTAGTCAAGGTAGAATAGAGTCAATCTGAAGGATGTCTGAGACAGAACCAGTCCAGAACCCTCTTAGAATGACTCTACTCTAGAATGTACACAGACTCAGCCTGTCAGATTTTGTCTGAGAGTTCCCTAAAGTCTTTAGTGAAGAGGAATTCAACTAGCTTCCTGAACACTGTCTCTAGGACTATACAATTGAATTGACTGAGGGTTTCCAACCCAAGGATTGTAAGGTCTACCTACTCAACAGAGACAAGCAGGAGGTGCTTGACAAGTTCCTTTAGGAAAATCTTCAGAACAGTCAGATCTGACCCTCAAAGTCCTCTATAGCCTCCCCTTTCTTCTTTGTCAAAAAGAAAGATGGGAAGCTCTGTCTAGTCTAGGATTATTGTTGTCTTAATAAGGGTACTGTCAAAAACAAGTACCTACTCCCCCTGATTCAGGAGCTCATTGATAAGACACATACATTCAGGGTTTTCACTAAGTTGGACATTTAATAAGGATACAATAATATTTGGATTCAAGACAGAGATGAGTGGAAGACTGTGTTCTGAACCAATCACAGATTGTACAAACCAACTGTAATGTTCTTTAGACTAACCAACTTGCTTGTAACATTCCAGTCATTCATGAATCACATCCTTACAAATCTGATTGACTCAGAGCACATTAGTGTGTATCTGGACAACATTCTGATCTTTACTCAGACAGTTGAGTACTATTACCAACTAATCTGAGCAGTTCTACAACAGCTCTAAGATAATAAACTGTTCCTCTAAGAAGCAAAGTACTCTTTTGTGTAGGAGTCAGTGGATTATCTGGGCTTTGTGATTGGTGGAGGAGAGGTCTGTATGGATCTGGCAAAGGTGACTGTAGTTTAGAACTAGCTACAACCTTAGAACCTGAAACAGGTCCAAGCATTCCTTGGGTTTGTAAACTACTACTAACACTTCATTCAAGGCTTTAGTACTATTGCCTGGCCCCTTCATGATCTTACTAGCAAAGAAGTTCCTTAGTAATAGGATGATCAGTAGTAGTCTACATTCAAGTCCCTCAAGTAGGCTATCACTAGCAAGCCTGTATTAGCAGTTCTGACAGTTGTAGACAAGTTCTGAGTTAAAGCTAACTCTTCTGACTTTACAAATAGAGTAGTACTGTCCCAGTTCATTGACAGAAAGTAGTGTCCAATAGTGTTCTGATCAGAATCCCTCTCTGTAACAGAATGGAACTACCCTATCTATAACAAGGAACTCCTTACAATTGTCCATTCTCTAGAAGAGTAGTATTAATATCTTCTTAGTATAGTACAGAAGTTCAAGATCTAGAGTGATCACCTTAATCTCTAGTACTTCTGGGCACCTCAGAAGCTTAACTACTGCTAGGCCTGCTAGATGTTAGAACTGTAGGACTACAACTTTGTACTGACCCACAAACCTGGAACACAAATGACAAAAGCTGATTTACTCTTAAGACAAGTAAGTCATGAAAGGGGGGAGAATGATAACAAAAATCTTGTTCTCCTAGACAATTCCTGTTTTGTGTCCAAGACAATCCAAGAGATCCAACTCAAATCTGAGGATGTTGACTTTGTCACCCACATACAGTAAGCTCTAAGACACACACAGGACTGGGTTGTAGTAAAGTAGTTAGAGAAGCAGGTAAGGGATTGGGAGGAGGATAAGGATGGACAGGTTTACTAGGAAGGCTGACTGTACATTCTGAAGGATTAGAAGCTGTAGGAGGACATTGTCCAAGCTTATCACAACAATCTAACTGTAGGACATTTGGGCCAACACAAAATGTAGGAACTCATTACTCAGAACTACTGGTGGCCCAGAATGTAGAAGGAAATCCTGAAGTATGTGACTGGTTACAATACATACTAACAGACTAAGGCCTACCAGACAAGGGTTCAGACTCCCCTACATCTGTATTGGATCCTAGATCACCCTTAGGAAGAAGTCTCAGTAGACCTGATTAGTAAGCTACCCAAGTCTCAGGGTTACAATACTATCTACATGATT